CACCCACACACACACACACACACACACACATACACGGTGTCTTTAAATAAAAATAATAATAACTGGATTTATTGTACAACAATTTAAACTAAAAAATTAACTATATTGAAAAGTTCCTCTGCTCTCAGCTCTGATCTGTATCTAAAGCTGAGGGTCAGTGTGTCAAATGGGTGTGGACATAAAAAAAAATAAAAAAAAACCTGGACCTAAAAGTCTTTGTGACAGCCGTGATGGAGTTGATAAATTCTGACTCAGCAGAGATAACAGAAGCGCTGCTGAGAGTTAAAAGTCAGCATCGACTGACGGGAGGAACCAGCTGATTCAGGCAGAGCAGGACAAGGGGACAGCAGCTGACTGACAGCTGACTGAAGCGGACCGAGCAGTCAGCAGGTTAACGGACTGCAGCTCTGTGCTCCGGCTCCGTGTTCTCATCAGAGCTGAGAGCTCAGCTGGATTTTATCTGAGCTTCAGCTGAATTTTTACCAGTTTCCAATAAAGTGTAGATGCCATGCACGGCACCTGTCAGGAATAGTAGTAATGCACAACCCCCAGAAAAAACTGCAGATGCCAGACGGCCTGTCCACTCCAGCTCTCTGTCCCGTCCCTGCTCAGATGCTGCTGTACAACCAGAAAATAATTTCTTTAACTCAGTGTCGCAGTTTAGTGAAATTACCTCTTCAGCAGCTCAAAAGAAAAGAGCAGAGGGTTTTTTGTTCCAACTGTTCCTGAAAACAAACATGCTGCAGAATTATAATTCAAATTCATACTTTGTTGTAGAACACTCATGTTGACGGTAGCAGTAATCGTATCTAGCAGAAACTATTTTCCTGAGGACTTCTTATTATGTTTACCTTCCAATGGGCATCTTTTTAGTCTTTGCCCTGAATCTAAAAGTTCACCTCACTGTTTTCTGATAAATTAAATTACTGCTAATGAAACCACATATAAACAGGTTCCTTAAATAAAGAGAAGGTTACTTTTTTCAACATTAAAAAGTCAGTTGTGAAAGTGGTGCATTACTTGGGGGAAGAGAAAAGGCTGAATGAGAAAACAACTTTTGGGGAAACAGAGTTGTTTGAAAAGTAGGTTAAACTTTTAAATTAAAGTGTCATGCTGACATGTTTGTGGTGTGTTTGTTTGTGTGCAGCACCAGGGAGCAGAGTCTGGTCCTCAGCAGCAGTCTGGAGTCTCTGGAGAAGAGGGAGGAGGTTCTGCAGGACAAACTGGGTTCTCTGGAGAACCAACACCTGCAGGACGCAGGCAGGCTGAAGAGCCAGCTGGACCAGGCCCAGGCCCGCACACACACACTGCAGAAGGAGGTACACAACCCCTGGAAGGTTTCCAGTCACTTCTTTACAAACACTGAACACATCTGTATATAAAAATGATAACGTGTGTGTGTGTGTGCGTGTGCGCAGTATGAAGACACACAGTCGCAGCTGTTGGACCTCCGTCAGCGCTATGAGCGAACAGAGCAGGAGAAGCTGAACATCCACCAGGAGCTGGAGCAGTGCAGGAGCAGCCTGAAGCTACTGCAGGATAAAACCAGCTCCGTGAGTACACACGCACACACACACACACGCACACTCGTACACACAGACTATTATCTTTTTTTAATGAAACTATTGGACTATTTGTGTTGTAACCTTTTATTTTTGCATTTGTTCAGCTTTAGATGTTGTTCCACAGTTCTGTTGATGTATTTATTCAGTTTTCTTTGAGATGGATGCAGGAGAAGCACCAGATTTGCTCATGGACACTCTGGCAGTCTCGGACTTTTGTAGCCGATAACCCACCCAGATCTTCCACTGCCTCCCTCCTCACTGCTCACACGCTAACTCTAGACGTAGAACACAAACAAGTCTGTAATCAGAGTTTAATGAAAGTCCTGCCAACTAACAAAGATGACTGATAACAAACTATGTGATGGAGGTAAATGCAAATTAAATAAATATATAAACAGAATCTTTGATGAACGAGTCACAAGAATTAAATTTGAAGTGTGATTCCGGCAGATTAATGCAAATAGACCTTTATTGTCTGTTTCTCCATATTAAGCTGATGAGTCGCAGCTCGTCTCCCACTGTGAAAACTCCAGGAAACATGAATCAGAAATTTAGACGAAAACAGCGAGACAGAGCAGCCTCCTCCTCCTCTGTTGCCCTTCTTCCTCCTTTTCTTCTCCTTCTTTTCTTCAGCTCCTCCTCAGGCTTCTGTTGATATGTCAGTAGATGTTGTTTTTCAGAATAAGAGTCCTGATCTAGACAGACAGGACTATACATTTGTTTTAACGGACCCCTTTAAAGGATAGTTTCTGTTTTTTACAACTTCATTTGTTTTCGTTGCTTTGTCCATCATTGCCGTCAGTTATTATCAGTACTTGCTGCCTCCAGTTGTCCCCAGTGAAGGATAAATAAAGTATCCTGAATTTAAATAATGATATTGTATCAACCTTTATAATACACGTCCCTTAAGACTTTGCTTCAGGAACCATTAGTTTTAGAAATAAACCTTTAAACATTTATTACTTTTTACTGACATTACTTATTTTTATTCAATCACCAAATAAATTGGTTTTGCTCATCTAATAAATTCGGGGGATGTTGACGTCTTCATGTTCTTACATCTCAGCAATAACTTAGGTACAATATGAAAACTGATAGAAGTGATGGACCACACAAAGAAAATAAGTCCCAAGTTGTAATGAGCCATAATTATCCTTCAAGTCCATTATTTATCTTCACCAGGCACAATGTTTGGAGTTTTATCACTTTAGAGGCAACAGATATTAGTATTCCTCACAGGAACCAGGATTTACATTCAGTCTTTTTGTTTGGATGGGTTTTCCATAACATTCCATCAGATCTGAATCCAGTTTTAAATCTTCTTCAGACTCTTATTGAACCTGAATCATCAAATGCTTCGTTGGATTGATTTTCAACGGTTTGTTTTCTAGAGAATTATGACATTTACTGTTTGTTCTACACAGTAAAAATCATATTTTTAATATCAACTAAAGAAATCAATAATGTTTTGCACACTGCACTTAATGTTGCCTGAAGTCGACCTCACTGTTTCTCAGGTCACTGAATACGGCTGAGGTCTCACTCTTTTTAAAGTTAGAGAAGAGAAGAGAACAGATGATCGGAACCCATCCTCAGATCAGCTGCTATTTATCCTCATCATCATCTTTAATGTTATTTTTATTATTAAAGATCAGAACAGATTCCGCAAAATCCACTCTGACCCTTAACAGCCAGGCAGCAGCTGCTACAGATCAGTCTCTGAACAAGACGTCCTGGTGCAGGAAGTTAATGAGCTGAAAGTGTTGGTGATGAAAGGTCGCCGTGGTGACGGAGGGGCCGTTCTTTTTTTTGTTTTTTCTGTTTTTTTGTGAATGTGGCTGCTGAATGTATAGACATGGGCGTGTCGCTTTATAGAAACAGCTGACGAGATACACAAGTCTTTCTACGGCTCTTCTCTCTGTCTCTCTCTCTCTCTCTCTCTCTCTCTCTCCCCCTCCCTCCCCCCTCGCTGTAGCTGCTCCATCCTCCATGTTGGTTTTGGTTGATTTTGCCGGCTGATTTCTTCTTGTCCCTCTCCCTCCCTCCCTCCCTCCCTCTAGCCATCCATATTMCAGCCTGTCCAAGCCATATTCATGGGCCTTGTCCTGGCTCTGCTCTACTGGTGTTTCGGCCAGTTGTGGTAGAAAGGTACACACCGACATGACATCAGTCTGTCTCTCTCTCTCTCTCTCTCTCTGTCGCCTCCATCTGTCCGCCATCTGTCGCAGAGAAGCTGACTGAGGTGAAACCATTGTGCTGCTCTGTGATGAATTCAGGGTCGTATGTTTGAGTGGGAGAATGAGAAGTTAACGATGAAGGAACCCACAACCGAGAATCAGTCATTTGTTTTGCCAAAAGCCGTTTTTTCGCCGGTTAAATTCTTGCTCTTGCTGTTGACGTTTAAATATCAATAGAACTTTTATTTTGTCAAGTAACTTAAGTGACTGTATATAAAGATGGACAATGGGTGTCTACTTCCATCCACTTTCCAGAAGTGAAGTCAAAACATATCGGAAGCAGTCGCTGCCATCTCGCGCTCATGGCATAATTTGGAGCAGCAGTAATCGTGGGGTGGAGCTGCGGCACCAAGGTTCTGCCGATACACGTGCTCTGAGCTTCACCCTGTTTTTATGACATCATGCAACCAAACCTCTCGGTGACATAAACATTTTAACATCACTTTGATAAAAAAACGACCTAAAATGACAGAAACCGTCTTTGAGAAAAATCCGTTTAACGTCTACTTTGGCTTTTTAGTTTGTTCCATGTCCCCTCCGCTAACACGGAGGCGGTGGCGTTTATGACCAGCCTCCAGGTTGATGGAGGTTGTCACTTTTAGGGAGCGGTCATGCCGTCCATCTTTATAAACCGTCTATAGCTGAAAGTTAGTTTTGGAGATTAGTACATGAAGGTAACCCGACTGTAAGAGTCGAACCCTGAATTCTGATCAGCAGGACAAACTCTTCACCTCTTACACTTCATCATCATCATCATCATCACTGTGGTCTGTCTTCGTCTTCTGGTTTAACTGCTCAAACTAAAGCATGCCCGTCTGTCCATCTGTCCACTGGTCAGTCACACCTCCTCTGCTTCTGCTCACACTGAAACGTGCTCTTTAAAGGGACGAGCTCCCACCAACCTCAGACCCTGTGTTTAGAGATACCGTGACCCTCGGCGCCTGTCGGCACTTCTAAACTTCAAGGAAACATTCTGAGCTCCCACGAGAAAAACTCTTTGACCGTTATTTAGTTGTTGTGATGTTCTTCAACAAAAACAGCAGCAATTAAAATTTGAATATCATTTATTTTTCTTCCTATAACAAATAGTTCAAATAATAATCCCGCACCAGCTCAGCCCTCAAACACCAACAGGTCTGAATTAACTTTGTTTTGGAATCAGAGACACAGTGAGACATTAAAGATATATTTTCCCTTTAAAGAGCCAGACTCTGACCACCTCTTAATAAAGGTGGGTTACTTACACACTCCTCCGCGCTGCGTCATTCCTTCACTGCCTCTTCGCAGCTCACGCTCACTCTCAGTGATGGTGCTTTCATTTTATTTTCATTTTATGCTCATTTCTCTTATCTCTTGTAACAGGGTTTGTGGTTTCTTCCATTTTCTGCATCCAGTTTGCTGCCTAATCGGTTATTTTTCCATCTTGTTGTGTTTTTCTTTACCTGTTTGCAGGTTTGGTGTTTTGTTCACACTGACTCTCCTCAGTGTTTTTAATTTTCTCATCCTCCAGCCATTGAAAACATTCATCGTTCTGTCCATCCTGTCCGTTCTGTGTTGTTTGCTGCTCGTTTCTTTATTCTCTAATGTCTGACCAGTGTTTCCAGTTGTTTGCTGTGGATGAAAACTGGTCTGTAACTTTTCTGTTTTTCTACTCAGGTAACCTCTTCAGGCTTTTTTACTTTGCTGCTTCCACCTGTTGAATTTCTTTTATTTACTCCTTTCCTCTTCCTCCCCTGAAGTCCCAAAAGACGATATTATTTATTCATGTATCCTCTGTTAATTAGTATTTAAGTTGTTCCTTTTGTGTATGATGTGGGAATAAGACAATCAACCTTTTTTTATTTGATGAAGCTGCCTCAAAATTGTGAGAAAAATTCCAGCATTCTTACAACAGCTGAAAAAAATCCTACCCCACTTTCTGAATTTTTATTTGGATCTGCACAAAACACACATAGATATCACATCAATATATCGGATCAATTATTTCCTGGGAAAATGGGCAAAATGGTCCGCCCCCCTGATCTAGAGCTGTGGAGAAGTTAGCGACCCACATCCCCTCGTGGAGGTTTCATGGTTTCTGTCCTGTAGTTTTATCTTGTGTACAAACAAACACACACAGGCCGAATGGTCGCCTCTTCATAGATCAGCTGTAGATTCATTAAAATAGATTAAAAGAAAAACCTCTGTGGAAAAAACAGAAAAAGATCCTCCTCAGGGACTTCAGCAGCTTTTCTCTTTCCTCATCCCTTTTTCTTCGGTCCTCTCTTCTCTCTCTCTCTCTCCTTCCTTGTCTTCTTTCTCCTCACTCTCTCCCTCCTGGTCTTAGTCCAGTTTGAATGAAAACCTTTGGGCCCAGAGTTCAAACTAACTCCACCTTCCTTCTGTTTTTCCTGCGTGTGCTCGTCTCTCTCTCGGACAGAGCGGCTGGAGCCCCTGGATGCCGGTCATCGCAGTGATGGTCGCCGTGACGGCAGCCGTCCTCTACCCCAACCTCTCCAAGAGCAGCTCCACTTAGGCCACAAGAACCCACAGACACACACAGGGCGCCGTGAGGAGAGCATCACTGCTTTACTTGTATAAAGTTTAATTGTACATAATTGTAGAGGGAATATAAAGGTTGTGGTTTCTACAGAAGATTCAGAAGCTTCTTGGTTTATTATTTTTTTTTGTTTGGGTTCTGTATTTTTTCGTTTGTTCGTTTGTTTTTCTGCAAGCGGGAGTTTCGTTGTCGTTTTTATTCTCGGCTCTCTCGGCTGTGGTGGGGGCTTTTATTTTTGGTTTTTTTGTCTTTCTGCTGATTTCTAGGTAACAAATTCTCAAGCAGATCTGAGCTTCCACACAAACAGCCTGAGGTGACGTTCACACACACACACACACACGCGCTCTCACCCGTCCCTTTGTAAACGGAACAGGGTGGAGGAACACTTTCCAGCATCTCGGGGCGGTCGAGGGAACTCCATCCACATTTACCTGTGAAAGCTGATGCGCGTGTGTTGAGAGGAACATTTGCTTTCACCCGTGTGAAAACATTTGATTGGCTCTCAGCGAGATACAGTCGCATCACGTTTCCCTTGACTTATAACCAACGACACATTCATCTCTGGGGTTCTTTTTTAACAGCCTCAAATGTAGACGTCAAAAACTAGTTCTAATAACTCACAGTTCATCATGTCGTCACATGGTGCGTATTCATGAGAAAGTTGTTTTGTGTCAGATGATCACAGAACAACTGACAAGTGACAGAATCAGGGGCAAGAAGCGATCAGGGCTGTCACCTTTTTATTCACAATTCAAGAGTCAATCTGTAAATATCTATTTGTTGCTTCTCTTTCGCGATTACACCAGATTTTGCCGAATGAAACAGAGTCTGATGTTTCCAGATTCACAAAGTCTAGTTTCATCTAAACTTTAGTCCAAAACACAAAGAGGTTTAACTTACTGTCATCAAGATAAAGAAAAGCAGCAAATCCTTTCACCCAGGACGTTAATATAAGATATCAAACTGATTATAGCTTCCATTCACAGTCGTATACAAATTATCTCGACATTGAAACTCATTCGAAAGAGATGAGTCGTCGTCGTCAAACTTTCACCCGAGTCTGCTGGAAAGTGTTCGTCACGTCGAGCCGGTTTCAGGAAGTCCCGCTCTGTTCTGGTTTCAGTCGGCCATGTTGGAGGTTTAAACGTGGCGTATTCTGTTGTTTTCTCTTTTCTTTTTGTTTGTTTTGTTTTCGGGAGTTTTTGGGTTCGGGGCTTAAACTTGAAGCCACATTATTCAAAATAAAAGTCAAACTGATTTTCTTTGTTTTTATTTGGCGACACAGTAAAAGAGGTCAAAGTGCCTCTGATGTGATTAACTAACACCACAGTTTGTGTATGTGTGCGGACAAACACTACCACACACACACACACAGGCGCACACACACACACTTAGACACTCACATAGCGTCTTTGACCGTCTGAGGTGTGTCTGTGTTGTTTGGAGAGAAGATGGACACCAGAGCTTTCAGCTGCCACTCAGGACCTTCACAGTGAAACATGATAACTGGGCTCCGTCTATGTGCTGGTGAAGCCCATGAGGGTTGAAAGCTCAGGAAATAGTTTGTAACCTTAAGTTAAAATCATCTGGAAACTTCGCTGGATGATTTTCTCAACAACTTAAAATTTGCTTCCCTGAGGATTAATCCCATTGACTTCACCATGATGCATCGTGTTTGTCAATCATGGTGCTGCTCAAACAGCTCCATCGATGCCACATTTGAATCCTACCGCCGTTTTTTTCCTGGTGGTCAGTCATCGTACTGCAGCACAGAGGTTTTGTGCCACGCAAAAAATAAATATCAACAGAGTGGGCTGCACTCCACAATTTATTCTGTCAGCTGTCGATCAGCGGGAAAACATCTCAGGCAGGAAACGTGTGTCATGTTTCCTCATGCACACGCAAACCTGCAAAACCTTTGTTACACAGTGCAAACGGTGGCCAAAAACTGCAGGGTCCCTGAACGCAGCACGGAGTCCTGCTCAGACTGAAGTCCACCAGTGCAGAGCTGAGTGATGAGATATCTGCGGACAGACAGTTAACGCCTCATTCTCCTCTGATCTGAGTTTTTATATTTACTATTTGAACTTCAAAAGTTTTTTAACGGAACTTTGAAACCAAACCAAATTCATTGTTTTTCACATCAGACCAGTTGAATGTTTTGATCCTCACTTCTCCGTCTTCTCTTCAAACACACACACTTCAGTCTGCTACTGAGATCGTGTGTGTGTGTGTGTGTGTGTCTGTCCGAGTGAGTGAGTGTGTGTGTGTGTCGGTTCCCACTCTGGACTCTTGAGCAGTGTTTGTCATCATCTGTGTACTCTGTCTTGTCCCCGTGTTTTAAAAAAAGATAAATAAATAAGAGAGAGAGAAAAGACAACGAACAAATATTCCTCATGTTTAAAGAGAAGAACACTACAGAACAGTACAGAGAGAGAATTGTAAAATAAAATGTTATTGAAATGACGTGCTACTAGACTTATTTTGTTAAAATTGTTTAGAGATATGAGAGGGAGCCGTGTAGAGGATATGATTCAGATGTGTTTAATATGCAGAGCGATGTTTGGATTAAAGTTGTAGCAAGCTGACCCACCAACTCCTGCCTCCAGCGTCTTCATTCACCGTCACACGCACAGAGACACGGACGAGCTTTACAGATCAAATCACTGCTTTAAAGAAGATTTGCACAAATTCATAGCTCTGGAAACAATCTCAGTAAAATATAATTATTTCTACAGAACTTATGTGTTACACACATACCTGAACAAAACCAACATATGAAAGCTAATATAAAGGAAACAAACAATTAAAAAGTTTATCAATGTTTAAAGTATTTGTACACAGGAAAATGTCTGATAGAGATGAAGGGAGCAGCCATGACAAACGTTATTGTCAGTAATGGTGGAATATGTGAGGAGACGTATATGAAGCAGTCTTCGATCATCATCGTCGTCCACGATCAGCTGCCGCCACCATTTTTGTCTCGTTCCTGTTTTGTTATAGATTCTATAACAAAATATAATAATCACAAAATGTTTCATTATATTTCGTTATAGAATCTATAACAAAAGAATTTAATTGATCACAAATAGGTTTCATTATATTTCCCTGCACTGGGTGGCGCTAAAACACCAGTGAAACAGACTTTAAACCCCTTAAAGACGATGCTGAACAGTTTGCGTTTTTTG